GGGACGGTAGCTAAGGCAGAGGAAGGCAGCCCATGGCACGGTATTCCCACCCCTTCAGCATAAAGTGCAGTGGAGAATTAAGGATTAGGACAGTCGAGCATTCACCTCCCTCCAGGAGTAAAAAAAAAAATGCACTGCACTTATATACCGTAATTGCAAGATGAGCCTGCACCGTGCACTGGGACCCAGAAAAACAAGTGTGTTGCATCAAAAGTGTAGGCAGGAGGTCAAGGGAGGTGGTTCTCCCCCTTTACTCGGCTCTCATGAGACCCCACCCTACAGCCCCCAACATGAGGAGGACATGGAATTCATGGAGAAAGTCCAGAGAGCCACAACGATGATCCAAGGCATGGAGCAGCTCTGCTCTGGAGACAGACTCAGAGAGTTGGGGCTGTTCAACCTGCAGAAGGCTCCAGGACAACCTCATAGCAGCCTTCCAGTATCTAAAGGAGCTGTTGACAAGGCCTTGTAGTGAGAGGACAAGGGGTAATGGCTCAAAACTGGAAGAGGGGAGATTTAGGTTAGGCAGTAGGAGGAAATTCTTTAGTGGGAGGGTGGTGAGACACTGGCCCAGGTCGACCAGAGAAGTTGTGGATGCCCCATCCCTGGAAGTGTTCAAGGCCAGGTTTGATGGGGCTTGGAGAAGCCTGGTCCAGTGGGAGGTGTCCCTGGCCCTAGCGGGTGGTTGGAACTAGAAGATCTTTAAGGTCCCTTCCAACCCAAACCATTCCATGATTCCACAGCCGCAGAGCTCAGCTGGAGTAATGAAGTCACTGCAAGGACTGACTTTGGGACAGGCAACAAATTTTATTGCAAGAAAAGAAACAAACCCTGATCATCATTTGAGACCGAGGTCCCCAATAACCTGTTCCCTGTGGAGGTTTTGGGCTATAACCCCTCACGCTGGGAGTGACTCAATCAAACGTGATCCGAAAGCTGCGCTCCTGCTCCTTGCGGCGGCTCTCGCAGACCTTGGTCACCTCTTCCACCTTCCTCTGCAGCACGGCTGTGGGAGAAACCAGGGATCACTCTCACAGCCCCCTGAAACACAACCCTGCCCAGCCTGACCCAAGGGAGGAGAAAGAAAAACACTTGGACAGTCACTCGGATCGGACACTGCACAGAGGAGGAGGAAAACCCAACACAAAGCGCGGTTGATCCTCCAAGGCAAAGATCATCTAAAAAGTATTCTGAGTCACTCAGGGACTAGCAGGCACAATCAGATGAAGCCTGGGACATGCTGTTGACACTTTGCTCTGCCAGTTTGTTGCAGTTTCAGGGCTGAGCAAACCCTCCCTGAGCAGGAACCACAAGCAGATCTTCAGCTTGAGGAAAACCAACTGCTTTACAGAGCAGTTTCCCCTCCACAGCTCCTGCTACACTTGCTCTGATCCACACCACCAGCCAAGAGTACACACACACTTTCCTGCAGGATATCACTCAGCCATTAGCAGCTTTCAACTGTAAATACAGAAAAGACACTGTGATTGCACAGAAGAGGAGCCACAACTCGGCTCATCTGTCATTTGCAGCTCAGGGGACTTGGCAACACACAAGCCACTCATGGAGCATCAACTTTCCATAGAGCAGACATTGCAATATACAAAAAAAATCCTGGCACAAGCTAAAGCAATTTCAGATTTCATTCCATGAAAGCTTATCTATCAGAAACTATTCAAAAGGGCTATGGCATTATGTCAGCCTGTGGCTTGTAGACAGGCATTCCAGGTTAGGTTTTATTTCCTACAGCATTCCCAACCCAGAATCTTCCAGTAACATATCAAACAACACATTTTCCTTTGTTACTTTTCAAAAATGTGCCACCTAACAATGATCATGGCATAAAATGACAGCCTGCCTCACTGTCTCACACGTCTCACCTCAGAATTCAGTTCTAGCTATGACAGGGAAGAAAGACTTTCTGGTTCTCTCAGGGAGAGGCAGAAGGTGACAAGGCTGTGTCCAAACACTCCTTTCACCTGTGGAAGCAGCACCACCCTGTGTCCGTGTTCAGCAAGTCCAACTAATTGTGGCAGGGCAGGCTGACACTAATTTGAATAGTGCCACAGCTACACTAATTGTTTAACAAGTCAGACAAGTTACTAGACACTATCGATGAGGGTGCTTAAAAAGATCCCTGGCTGTTGTGAAAGAGTCCTGGAGATGCTCCACAAGAAACCAAACTGGTAATATCACCTACAGCACAGATGGCCTAGTTCTTTGGTTTTTTGTGGGGGGCAGGTTGAAACATTTCTTTCACATAAAAAGAATGTTAAGGAATTTGTCCTTGTGAAATTCCCACACTCCAGAGTCACTGCACTTGCAGATCAATGCCTGCTGCTCAGTGTGACCTGGATTGGGCTTTCCTGTGGGAGTGAAGGGAAATGGGGATGACAACATTAAACACACACACAACCCCTCAACAATTTTCCTATTCCAAAGGGAAACCTCAAAACACTTTAAGAGCTGAAATATTTAACCATAGGTTGACAAAACAAAGCATAAAGTTTTCAAGTCCTCTGCTCTGATGCATTTCAAGCACTGCTTTTTTTTTTTTTTTGGTAAAACATGAGCAGTTGCCAGGAATTAATTCTGAGCAGAGGCCTTTGATGAACATCAGGGGAATTCAAGCAGAGGAGAAACAGGATCATTGAACATGAGGAGGAGAAGATTCCTCAGGCACCCTCAGGGATACATGCTCAAGCAACACTTGCACACGTGCTACCTGCTTTCCATTTGCATTCTGAAAAAGCTGCAAGGCAACTCTCACCTGAATTCTGGTCAATCCACTGCAATGAATCCATGTGTGCATTCAAAATTTTACAGATCTGCTGAAGCTGAGGAGAAAGAGAAGCTGCAAGTCAGTTGACAACCATATAAACTAAGAGCAGGAAAAGACAGCCTGCCTGTCCCTGCCTTTGGAACACGATGCAATCACATTCCTAATACATACACCTCCAATAACCGGGCAGAGACCTTCCCAGGGAACTCTGAGCAGCAACTGTGTTAGTTTGCTTCTCTTTATCATCAAGGAAACAGATTGGTTTAGAGTATATGCCCATGGCTTAGGCTTATTTCAATTCAGACCTAGGAACCACGACTCCATGAATCATGTTTGGATTAAGGTGGCAAAAGTCAAAAAACAATGGGAAAAAAACCTCAGTCTGCATAACTGAAGGGAGATTTTTACTGAAAAACAGCTTCTCAGAAAAGCCACAAGGGATGTGAAGATCAACTTAATACATATCAGTAAGAGCTGGTAATTCAGACCTTGTTTTCAGGAGGATGGAAAAATAGCATAAGGAAAAAAATCAGCAGCTACAGAGAGCATTCTGAGCAAAATTTAGATTAGCTACAAGATAGATTCAAGGATGCAGCAGACAGCCAGGTCACCATTAAGAAATGCCTCTGAAACAAGATGTAAACTAGGCAAAAATAGACAACCACCAAATAACCCAAGTGAGATACTTCAAAAACTGTGGAGTCAAGACGTAAACAAGGATGGCTTGTGGTGTGATCTCATGCACGTTTTAAGAGAAAAGAATCAACCCAAGGAAGAAATAAAAAACACCCTTCCATGCTGAAACTGCATGTATCCAGGAGCACACAAACAAGTTTAAATATCCTTTGTATCATTCCAACAAACAAAAAATAAAGCTTAGATGTACCGGGTCACTTGTGTCTGCTGGGCCTCTTGATGTGTTCAGGTGCTCAGTGATGTCCTTCAGATCTTGTGCCATACGCTTCAACTGAGCATCTATGTTTTCTGCCAGTTTGTAGCTGCAAAAGACAGCGGAACCAAGGTCAGAATGCTTGAAGTGAACTTCAGAAGACCTGCTACCAGTCCAAACAACTCCGGGTAAACAATTAGCTTCCAAAACTTTCAAGCAAGGCTTGAAACACATATTGTGATTACCCTGATACAATAAAACACTTAAAGGTTTATGAGGATGCATGAGCCACATGTCTCAGTTCATTCTGCTCTCACCAGTGCCACCACTAAATAGTCACCAGTTTTCAGAGATCATGCCTAAATTAGTAACCTTTTCCCACACAGCTCAGTAGACCAACATCCTAAGAGATTCTCCTGCCAACCCAAGGGCTTCCACTCTCACTTCCCCCGTTTCTAATGCATAAAATCAGGCTGCCATGCACATCACAGGGTCACAGGGTTGACAAAGGCCAAGACGAATCCATATTCTCTTGCAGCCCAACTCCACCCCTTGCCCATCCATCACCACCACATCAGTCTGCTCATCACACATCCCAAGCAGATCTGGCTCTTACGTCCTCTCCCGCTCCTCATCCGCGTGCTGCAAGTAGATCGTCCCGCTCTGCTCCTTCACAGACTCCTCCAGCGGCGTCAGCAAGTCCTCCAGCTCTTTCTGCTGGGACAGAATGAAGTCCAGCTCCTGATCCAGTCTGAAAAGAGAAGACATGAACGGCTCCACCCACACCTTAGGTACGTTCCAAATCTGCCATTCCACAAGGCAGGAAGATTTGGTTTCTACATCCTCTACTACAGTTCCCAGTCTTGTACCTCTTCTGATCAAGCTTCACCTTCTCTACTTCCCTGTGCAATGAAGTAATCTGCAAACACAAGACAAAAACAGTAAACAAACTCACAAGTCAACTCCTCCAACAGTTACCTCTGGATTGACAGATCAAACACTGAATAGTGCAAGTCTAAAAGCTCCACCCCAATGTAACTGGCTACCACAGTGTGAACCCACGGAATGTAGTTCCAACCTTCAACACATCGAGACAAGGACAGACACACAAAAGGTTTCAAAAGCACCAGACACAACGGATTCACCCCTCTCTCTTTACAAGCAGAACATCCCTCTAGGTGGCTGAGAGCATCTCTAACACCCCAGGCCCAGCAGGATCCAAGCAAGCACAGCCAGGTCACACTGGGCATCACCTCACCTTCTCCCCGTTCTCTATCAGCGTCCGATCCCAGGCGTTCACTTGTGTCGCTTGATGGAGAAAGTGTTTCTCTTGGTCTTCCAGTTCCAGACTCCACTTGTTTATCAGACTCTCCAGCTGGGCATACGTCATCACCGGAGGTGCCCTGAGAGAAGTGCCACCCAGCACAGAACCCCAGGTCAAACACCAAAGCACAAACGGGACAACACACGCTTACGCTTCCCCCTCCAGGTACCACCATCCACTCTCTCTCTTGCCCCAGTCACCAAGTGTCAGTCACTTGTAACTCCACACTCACGTGGGTGCTGTTGTAGTTAGGGCAGCTGTAGAAGTCCCAGCTCCAATGGCACCAGTTGTAGTTAATGGCTTCAGGTTCAAAGCAAAGGCAGGAACTGAAGTGGTGCCTGAGGGGAAAGACTCAACTCAAGCAGCAGAACAAGCAACACATCTGCTGTCCAGAAAACTACGGATAGGTCCAGTGTACATGTCTAAGGACAGTGCTGTGTGAGCTCAGATAGGTCCCTGCCACCAAAAGCAAATCCCGTGTCTGTCACCAAGAGAAGGAAGCACATCCTGACACAAAGCAGTCGACTGTAAATGCCTGACTAGCAGCTCCAAGAAAACAAGCAGCTGTCAGCCTGCCCCTCACCTGGCCATTAGTACCAAGAAACACACATTAGCCCACACCCCTCTCAGTCTCCTCATCTTTTAGCATTAGATCCAACAACCACCCACTTCACCTCCTGCGCTTTGCACGTAAGGCTTCTCTTTGCACAAAGATACAACCATCTATCAGATGGCTTTCTCAGCCAGGCACACGGCTGCTGCAGGGCACTCCTGCTCT